AAGAAGAAATTCCAGAGTGACACCCACCCTGGAAGGCAGCTGCAATGCCAAACCTCTGCCACGTCAAACCTCTTGACGTTGAGCACACCTGTGAAGCAGAGGCTGGGTTCTAAGGCACGGCCACAGCAACGCCCGCAGCACACAAGGCACCTGTGGCCTGGGCTCGAAACCCACACGTGAGGGAGCAGTGAGAGCAGCAGGGGCAAGACACTGTGGGCAGAAGGCAGAGTGCGGGGTGCCCAGGTGAGACAAGCACAGCAAGCGAGAAGAGGAGCAATGAGAAAGGGAGTTTATATGGATTTAAATGGGGTGGTAAAGCCCCAGCAAATACATGTGTCTGGACACGCAGTCCCTGCAGAGCATATCTGGAGGTTCTTTGCGCCACCCATACCAGAAATGACAGAGGGGACAGAAGACATCGGAACCAGGGCACGCCCTGTGCGAGGGCGGAGGCCGGCACAGCCTGGGGCTTTATGAGCTATTTCCTTTGTCCTCACAGCTTGTCCAGATGTGGCATCATAGCCACAGAGAGAGTCCCCTTGCCCAGACAGGGGGCTGTGGCTGCCTCCAGAGGCCACTTCTCAGCCTCTGGGCTGAGCTGCCTCCATCTGGGCAAAATTGGACAGACTCTTGTGTAACTGGTTTGCAAATGTTCGAGATGCTTCATCTTAGTATTTACCAAACTTTCTTATTAGTTTGTCCACGGAGTGTGTTTAAATTAATTTCAAGTAAGTCCCTTTTTATTACGAGTTTCAGTTGTATCCTGGTGAGAGCTGCTGTTGGTTGTCCCGACACTGGCCAGGGCCTACCAAAGGATGGACTTCCCCTGTAGGGCCCACCCGGTAGGGGAAAGGTGGTGGGCACGCACGTGAGGCTTTAACACGTACACAGTGAGTTTGAGAGGACCTCACAAGGCCACGTTTTGATTTTCAGCTCTTTGGTTTCTCTTACGTGAATGATCCGAGGGATGTGAGGACGTGAGAGCAGGGGCAGCACCATGGCCCCAGCGGTTGGTTGTTCAAAAATATTTAATAACCTCAAAGATTGCCTGGATGAACAAACAACCCTAAATATTCTGCTCCTACTGTGCAGAAGTGATTTGATGACAACAGCAAGAAAGAACTAGAGAGAAACAGAGAAAGCTTCAGAGAGAGAGATAGAAATTGAGAGAGAAAGAGAGAGAATACTGCTTTCTAGAAAAGGATCAGATCATCTAAATCCTACCAGATTACAGAATAACAGGCTACTCCTATTGCTTTGTGAAGACAAGTCTTGTTTTGATCAGTCACTGGGAGCACCGGCGGCAGCAATCTCGTTACTGATGAGAACGTCAACGGCAAGTGCCCACTGACCCCTTGGTATGTGCCAGGCCTGTGCTGTGTGCTGCGGTGGGCACTATCTCACGTAATCTTTAACAGAAACCTACAAAGTAGCACTAGGATCATCCCATTTTACAGATGTGGGAACAGTTCGGAGTGTTCAGATAACATGCCCAGATTCCAGCATCACTCAACAACAGGACGAGGATTCAGCCCTGGTCTGTGTGTCCTAAGAGCCAGGTCCCCAACCACTAGGCTCTGCTAACCAGCTCTGTATTTGCACCAGTTTGCTCCCCAAGAAAGCTCCTCCCTCAGTCCCCCACTAGAAATGCAAAGCCTCCACGACTTTGCTCTCACTTCAAACTTATTTAACAAAGATAATTACTCTTCCGAACTGCCTGGGAAGCTGCATTTTTCCTCTCTCCTCTCCCAATGCAAAGGGACATTTATATATTGTACCTGGAAAGCACCAACTCAAACCCATTCATTATAAGGAGAGGGAAATTACACATTCCAACCTTGGCTTTCAGGACACCATTGTACTTTTCCCCTTACTGCAAAAAGTAGGATACTTTCAGTAAAAACTTTCGATCTAAAAATAAAACAGTGGCAAACTCTGCAATTACACTTCCCAGGGGGAGACAGCACACAGGCCTTACACTCTGTTTTCCTGAACGCAGAGGGTCCTCTGCATTCGCTCCTCTGCTCGTTGGTCACGCCAAAGGCCCAGCTGTCACATAATTAGCTGGAAAACCGAAGCTATGGAAGTTTGAATAACTGTGTGGTCTTTCCAGGAATGATGTGGGCTGCTTTATTGTAAATCAACCACAGGCTACTTCATCTCACGGGTCCTCCAGAGCCAGCCTGGGCCACCGAGCAACACCGACGCCGCTGCTGGTGTTGTGCTCCTGGCTGCAATCTTCCTCCTCCCGCCCCGACATCACGCTTTCTCACTCCCTCTCCTTCCCCTTTGCTGCTCTGGGTCTCTCGTTTACGAACATCGCCACGCTTGCTTGTGGATGCTGGGTGCCCACTGTGACTTTGCCAGAAAAGTGCAAGCCTGGCTCCTGGCTACTACAGACTGAGGACTCCTGGTTTCATGGCCGGCAGAGTCTGTAAGATAGAATACTATCTTACACAGTCATCCTAAGGCAGAAGTACACTGTCAACTGGGGAAAGGCATATATAATTTTGGTAAGGGGATTTTACAACTAATTCATCAGAGTTCTTTAAGGGACATGTACACCTGTGGGCAATGGAGGGAACACATGCGAGTGATTATATGAACTTTCAGAAAGTGTCTAAATTCCCAATCCAAATGGAATTTTAAAATAAGTCACTAGAGATGGACAAGAAAATTTTTGTAATGATTAAAAATCTAGCCTAAAGACAGGACACAGGATGAATGAATGGAAAAATTGGGCTGTCTAGAGATGCTTAAAAATTTTTTACAAATAAAGAGAAGTACTCAGTAAACTCTTCAGGTTTGTAGATAACACTCCCTATGAGAATGCAAACTAGACCTCCAGGGGAAGGCATGCAAAATAACAAAGGAGTTTATGTGGACAAATGTAGATTACATACTATTCCATCATACAACAGGCTGGGTGGTCAAAATTACAACCCAAGAAAGGGTCCTGAGAATCCCTATATATAGATCATTGCCCTGAAGATATTTAAGCCACCGTGACACTTGGGCTTAGAAGTGTCCCCAGGATGGGTGTGGGATGGCTACTGGGGATGGTGTCACTAGGAAGGGTATCAGAAATCAAACAAAGGCTGCCATGTGTCCTTGTAGATACCCTGGTGTGCCCCCACATGAATGACTAGGTGTAGTTTTGGTCATGACATCTGCAGAGGGCTGTCATAGATCAAGACATTGTCCAGAAAAACGCCAATCAAAAATGTCAAGGGAGCAGCAGTAATAACAGCAATAGCAGAGCACGTGCTCTATGCCAGGCACTACACTAAGCACTTTACATGGGTTAACTTATTAACTTCTCAACCATCCCACGAGGTAGGTACTGTTATCAGCCCCACTACAGAGGTGAGGAAACTGAGGCACAGAGAGTTCAAGCAGCTTGTCTAAGTCACACAGCTGGTATCAGGACCCAGGCCGTCCAGCGTCAGATCCCAAGCTCTTAACCACAGGCTCCTTACTGCGTGGGAGAAACTGAATACATTCCACACTGTTCCACTGGGGAGGCAAAGGCTAAAAGTAATTTATCTAAGTTAATAAAACCAAGACAAGGCCTGATAGGGAAAACATGGACTTTGTACCAAACTGTAGATTATTAAAGTTAGATAAAGTAAATTTAAGACAAATAAAAGGAAGACTGCTTTGCACAGCAGGAAGTACATTATTAAATTTTAGTTTCTCAAGAATGAGACTACAAATTCTTTTTTCTTTGAGACAAAGTTTGGTGTCACCTTGGCTAGAGTGCAGTGATGTCATTATAGCTCACTGAAACCTCAAACTCCTGGCCTCAAGTGATCCTCTTGCCTCAGCCTCCTGAATAGCTGGGACTACAGGCACATGCCACCATGCTCAGCTAATTTTTTTCTATTTTTAGTAGAGACGAGGTCTTGCTCTTGCTCAGGTTGGTCTCGAACTCCCAAGCTCAAGCAATCATCCTGCCTCAGCCTCCCAGAGTGCTAGGATTGCAGGCGTGAGCCACTGCTGGCCGACACTATAAATTCTCAGGGTCAAGCAGAGTGCTGGCATCAATAATGTGTTACTAAGGGAAACAACGTTTGCCTGAGGTGTATTCCTGTCCTTCCAGGCGTGAGGCAACAGGGGGTTTCCATGCCTATTCCCCCAGGAACATCCCTGGTCCCTTCCCTAGAGGCGGGCTACCGAGCTGAAGAAATGTGGGTCTCCCCCCGGCCATAGCGAAGCTTTCATCCTTTCTTCCAACACCCTTCCTGTCACTTGGGTGTTCTGCTCTCCTTGCCGACCTTGTCTCTAAGGAATGTCAGTCTGGGAAAGGAGACGGCCGTGGGTGTGGGTAGCAGCTCTCCGTCTGAAGTGACAGGAAGTGCTTGCCAAATAACTCCAAGGTGTGGGGACCCGTGCCAGCTTATCTTGCACTGAGTCAATGGTAGGGCCACTCTTACAGGTGGGGATCTCTGTGCCCTCAGTTCTTTCTGCCTGTTTGCCTAGTCGGTCCTGGAGAAAGCCAGTGGGCAGAGAGGGGAGGTCTTGGTGGTATCTGGGAAGAGTGAACATCCTAACTCTTGCCCACAGACGAGGGGGTCTCCTGGGCTCTGCCCCTTTACTTTCCGTGGGATTCAAGGCCCCAGCTCTGCATGCCCGCTGAGGAGTTGAGAGAGGAGAACTGCACAAAGTTTGTCCCATGCATGTGCTGCCAGGCCTGGAACAGTCTAGAGACCTGGGGGAGCAATGGTTTTACTTCAAGTGCCTGCTGCTCTGGCGGCACTGGGGAGCAAGGGACCCCTCACTCTGGTGCCTGTGCTGGGGGAGGAGAAGGCCTAGGGTGCTGCCAGGTGTAAAAGAAGAAAGAAATCTGGGGAGCGGGATCTAGGCCCAGGCACATGGGCTGAAATAGTCACCACTGAGTTTTCGGTCGCGAAGGCTCCCGTTAGCACAGTCGGTGCCGAGGACACCTGTGCCCGGCACGCACCTGCACCGCGAGCACCGTGGGCGCGGCGGCTACTCACCTACGCAGTTATCGCAAAGGCTGCAGTGAGAGGCACGAGGGGGCCGGAAAATCTTGCAGGTGAAACAGTATTTCAGTTTCACAGTCTGGCCATTGATGATGACTTCTTTGGTTCTGGGAGGTGGGCGGTACCCCCCGGAACTGGTGCCGTTTGCGATATCTGTGGAGAAAAGAAAGAAAAGAGTACACACCCTTCAGACGACCGCCTCACCTCCGCGGGCTCCTGCGACCAGGTCTCGGAGCAGGGCCTGCTGTCGCACCGCGTCGCGCCCCTCGCCAGGCCCGGAGCACCCCCTGCGCACCTGCACAGCAACCAGGACGTGTGCCTCCCTCACCGGACAGGTGTGTGGCCACGTGACTGCACTCTGGCCAACGGAGTCCGTGCACACCTGGCCCCGCCCAGCCGTGCCCCTCAAAGCCCCGCCCACCCCCTCCCTGTGGGCGCAGGAGAAGCCCCCAGGGCCACCTTCGAAGCCACAGGTGGGGGATCTGAACGACTGTGCAGAGGCGGCCGCAGCTCTTACTCTCCAAGGCCCACAGTTACCTGAGGACCAAATTCCGTTTTAGTTTTATTTGTTACAGCAGCTAGCCTCGCCCTAACTGCCACAGTGCCCTACTTGACTTCCTTCTAGAGGGTGTACTCCAAATCCAGCTCGGGTGTCTCCTCACTTTGCCCATTGGCCTCCCTAAAAATACCAGGTATGGGATGGGAGAATATGGATATTTTAAAATATATTTTTAAAAATCCTGAAATGTATACTAAAAAATCATGTCTACATTTTATCATCTCGACAGCACCTTTTATGATTTTTAAGAACCACTTCTGAAAATGTCAATGAAAATACAAACATGTATAATTTTTAAAGTTTCATTTTATCTTACCGCCTCTGATTTCACATTAGAATCACCTGGGGAGCTTTTAAAACTCCCCTAAGGCATGGACCCTGCCCCAGATCCATTCTGCAGTATGGCCCAGGGTTATTCTAGCGTGGGCAGGGTTGAGAACCCCTGCTCTGCGGGAAGATAAAATTTCAGTTTCATTTTCTGCCTACACCCCCCACGGTGCAATTAGGCTTCCGGAAGGAATGTGGGGCAGCCAGCTGCAGTCAACAGCAGGAGGCCACAGGTGGCTAGGGGGTAGCAGGAATCTCCGTGGGGGCAGCAGCTGAGCCGCTGGCTGAGAAACACAGGCCGAGCAGGCCCTGGTGGCTGGATCGGTCAGGGAAACTTCAGAGCTGGTAACATTAAAGGTAACCGTTCATGTTAATTCATATACACTTAAAACACACACTGTTAGATAGAGACAGTTGCAACGTACTTTTGGTCGATTTCCGAAGTGGTAGGAATTAGTCCCAGCATCCACTCAGGCCCCTCACACCAACCCAACCTAGGCAAGAATTACTTGCATTTGCAGAACCACTGATATCTTGGTCCAGTTCTGCCCTCAGAGATTCTGATTTCATGCTGTGGGGTACGGTATGGCATCACAATTTTGAAAAGCTCCCCAGATGTGGGACTCTGCAGCCAACGTTGAGACCCTTGCTCCGAGGGAGGGCCACCTGCATCTGTATCATCTGAGAGCTTGGCCGAGAAGTGGTTCTCAGCTCGTCCCAACCACTGAATCAGAATCTGCATTTTATTCCAAGTTTGAGAACCCTGCTGTAGGGTGCCCTAAATACTCCCCAAGCCACACATTCATAGGTGCCTCAAACACATGCACTTGTATGACAAAGGGCTAAATTTAGAGAACACAGCTTTGCTCAGGTGAAGGGGCCGCATCACAAACACCCAGCACCTAAGCGTTTTCACGTTGAGCACTTGGTGACTTAGGACGGCTACTGGTATCTGGAGAGCTGCACCCTCCCCCTGCACCCACCAGGGCTGCTCTCACTGACAACCCAGGACTCCCACACCAGGATTCAGGGGCTCCAGCAGGTGTGCCCCGCCCCCAGACTTCTTTAAGAGGCCGTTGGAGGCCTAAAATCTGCCACTAGCCTTTAGTATTTGTGAAAATACCAACCCCAGTGGTAGAGAGAACACTCTGAGCTGCTGCTGGCCATGTACTACGCATGGAAAATTAAAGTCCCACATCGCAGGGTGAGAAGGGTGAGTATGGAGGGCCAGGAGGGCCACGGCCTAGCAGGGAGCAGCCCTTCTACTTTTCGTCTTCCCAAGGCCCAGCCTTCTGCTTAGACTAACAGCTGTGCAGCCAGCCCAAGGATTGTCGGTGGCCTTGCCAAGCAGGACACCCTCTTCTGGCATGTGCCTCTCCTGCCTGGCACCCCAGGGGGCTTCCCTAGGAAACAGTGCTAAATTCAGCAGGCATCTGGAGAGGAGCTGAGCTCCAAAGTCATGACTGTGGGGAAGAGGAAGGCCTCGCGCTGGAATCTGTAATGGGGAGAGAACAAAGGGATGGCGTGGCCGTGTACCTCCCCGAGCATCAGGGTGGAAATCACTGGCTTTGAACACATCAAAGGTAAGGTCATCTCTCCATAGGTGCCACTGAGGCCTAAATTAATAATAATTTGGTGCCTTCACAGCCTTATGCCAGTTGGGAAATCTACTGTATCTATTTAGCTCTTGCAAACATGGATAGAAAAACTAGGCCAGATATGGGCTTAAAAAAATACTAACCCAATCAAACATTTGTATTAATTTAATCAGAAAAGTTTTTAGAGGCTGAATTGTGAAGGCAAATATTTTAAAATGCGGGAATGACAAACTTATCAACACTAGAATTACGTAAAAACTCTACTTGTGAGTAGCAATGATTTGAAAAAGCAAGTATTTGCTAGTACTCCTTAAGATAAACTCTATTGGTCTTGTAGTTCCAAAGTACATTTCTGAAAGATTAAACCTTTGATACAAAGTGAGCTGAAGGCTGCAATTCAAAAGACATAGTAAACTGAAGCTTAAGAATGAAAACAAAACCCACAACTCTCTTTGACTAAATATTTGAAGAGCTCTTTATGTAAAAGAAATGGAATATATTATATAGTTGCGAATAGCTAGAAGGAGGATATTCCCAGCACAAGGAAATGATAAATGTTTGAGATGATGGATGTGCTAACTACCCTGGTCGGATCACAGTAAATGATATGTACTGAGACCTCACTATGTACCCCATGAATATGTACAAGTATTGTTTGTCAGTTTTAAAAAAAAACTTTAAAAACACACAAGAAATGGGAAGATCAGAAGACCTGGATTCAGGGTCTAGCTATACCATTAAGTGATGGAAGGAGGGCAGGGTGTGGTGGCTCACACCTGTAATCCCAGCACTTTGGGAGGCCGAGGCAGGATGATTGCTCGAAGCCAGGAGTTTAAGACCAGCCTGGGGCAACATGGCAAGACCCTGTCCCTACGAATTAAAAAAAAAAAAAGATTAGCCAGGCATGGTGCCACATGCCTGTAGTCCCAGCTACTCAGGAGATGGGAGGATTGAGCCCTGGTGTTGGAGGTTACAGTGAGCTATGACTGGGCCACTGCACTCCAGCCTGGGTGACACAGTGTTTAAGAAAAAAAAAAATTGTCAACTAATATTTCTAAGCGAAATATTGTGCCAGTAGTTACAGAGGGCCCATAGGGGCCTGGAAGGGGTTCTGCTGGGCTGTTTCTTGAGCATGGTGAGTTTCCTACCACCTGTTCTCATCCAATCCGTTTTCCTCACAGCCCTCAGAGTCAGTTTTCTTTCTTTCTTTCTTTCTTTCTTTCTTTCTTTCTTTCTTTCTTTCTTTCTTTCTTCCTTCCTTCCTTCCTTCCTTCCTTTCCTTTCTTTTTTTTCCTTCTTTCTTTCTTTCTTGTTGTCTCACTGTGTTGCTCAGGTTAGCCTTGAACGCCCAGCTTCATGTGATCCTCCTGCCTCAGTCTCCTCACACCTGGAACAACAGGTGTGAGGCTTGGCCACTGTCCGCTTTCTAAATGCAAGTCTGCTGAAGAAACTCGGGACCTCATGAGGCACGTGAAGTTGTCTGAGAACCTGGCTCTCTCGTCTTGCAGTTCCATCCTACATGGAGACTGTGCTCAAAACACAGGGGCCGCCTTGGGCTTCCGTGCGCAGGCAGCGCCGTTTCCCTCTTGCAGGCTTTTGCACACCCTGCTCTCTCTGCTTGGATTCCCTGTCCCTCTGTCTGCGGAGGTAGTCCCACCCTTCGAGGTCCAGTTCAAGCTTCTCTTGTGAAAACACTTTGCAAGCAGAGTTGCTTTCTTCTTCCTTTGGACTCTCATGGTACTTATTTATTTATCCAGACAATAGGTCTCTTCTGCTGGGGGCTTAACTGTGCTAGGAGCTGGGGACACAGCCGGAACCGAACAGACTTTTTCCCATGTTCACAGGCTGGAGGGAAGACCCAGTGCCTATGACCAGCATTTGTTTTCTTGTCTTCCTGCTGCTCCAGGGTAGTGACCAGTCCTGACCCACTTTCCTGTTCCCGGGCTCCAGCAGAGGGTCCAGCACCTGCTAGGTGTTCAAGGACTGGAAGATCCCTGCACCGTCACCTCCAGGTCTGCTGGTGAGTTGGCCACACTGCCCTTCACATCCACGAAGCTGCCCTCCAGGCAGGCCATCCTCTGTGCCCACGGTTCCTCCCTCCCAGTGGACCCTCTCCGGAGGTCCCTCTGTGGCTGTGACTCTTCTTAATATTGTCCATAAGCTGTGCTGACCCAGAGTGGATCTGGGCAAGACAGGCATCTGTCTCACCCAGGGGAGCCCAAAGTTAGTTTCTTCCACAAAGTCAACTCAACAGCTGCCCAGACCCACGCGTTTAGGCACGCCTGCATCAGCGCAGATGTGAATAACGGGCCTTGGAACCGAGGGCTTCAAATACCAACCTTAGCCTAAAAGAAGTTTCTCTTCGACGTGCAGACTGAGGCCGATGGCCGATCATGAAGTCTTTCTCACCCGTGGGGATCACACACCCATGGCCTGTGTGACCTGACACAAAGGCCAAGCAGAAGGTGGTGCTCCCACTCTGATCCTCAGTTATCTGGTGTCTGGTGTGTGTTGGGTTTTTTTTGTTTGTTTGGTTTTGGGCAACAATTGTGCCTCTGCTTCTTAGGGCTGCTTTCTGTGTTTTAAATACAGCTATTAAAGAAGAATAATAAACGTCTGCAATAGTTAATGGTTCAAGAACACTAAAATTTTGGGAAAAATCTAGCAGT